ATCCACAGATCATTCACAGAGACCTCAAACCAGAAAACATATTGATTGCCGAAAATTTAAGGAACGGTAGATTTGTTAAGTTATGTGATTTTGGTTTAGCTGTTGAACACCAAAGGGAAACTCAGAGTCACTCCAAACACACGGGAACTCCTAAATATATGGCTCCAGAATTGTATCAATCTAAGTATACAGTAAAGGTAGACATATATAGCCTGGGTATTATTTCTATGGAAATGTTCGACATATCATTAGAGTATGTTTTAAAGTTTAATTTTATTTATTGTAGATTTTTATTCATTTTATATTTTAAAGGGATAATGAACTGGATAAATATAATTCAACAGTATTTTACGAGAACATAATAAATATATTACAAATATTTGGATCGATGGTATCATTTGGACCAAGTATTAGACCAAGGTGTTTTGATATATTACATAGAAGTGATCAGTGGTCACTTAACAAGGACATTATTGACTCAAATATTAATGCATTTAATAAATTCATAGCTCAACACAATTCCGACGATTATTTGTTTTTTAAAAACATTATAACATATAAATTAAAAATGGACAAAATAAGCAATGTAAATCCAGTCTCGCCAAAACATACAAATATAAAACCGGCAACAAATACAGGTAATCTAGTTTAATTTGTAATTGAGCAAGAATATATTATTATGTTCACAATGAATAGGTGCCATCCCTAAGAGGGCGTCGAGTAGTATATCACGTAAAACTGAGTCTAATGTCTCGACTGGAAGTATGCGTAGTATTCGCGATAAGTTTGAAAAGTTGTTTAAAAATAGCAAAACTGGAAAATAAAACATCAAAATATTCTCCAATTAAATGTTATTTAATATATTATTAATGTTATACAGTGTCATTTAGTGCCTTAATATACAATATATTTTGAATTATCATAAGCTTAATGTAGCAAAAATATAGTACCGTAGATATAATTATGAATAAAATGGTGAGAATCCACTCATAAATCGCCATTCATTTCAGTCTCTCGAATGTATACCTCTTCTCAATTTTGCCAAAACATTGGACATCAATGGACTGCAAATGCAAACAAATTAACATTTTATTATTTATTATTTCATCAATTTATTTGAATATAATAAATGACACAATACTCACACTTTTCTCTTGAAGTTGATTATTTGTTTTTTAAAAACATTATAACATATAAATTAAAAATGGACAAAATAAGCAATGTAAATCCAGTCTCGCCACGACATACAAATATAAAACCGGCAACAAACACAGGTAATCTAATATCATTGGTAATTGAGCAAGAATATATAATTATGTTTACAATGAATAGGTGCCATCCCTAAGAAGGTGTCGAGTAGTACATCACATAATACTGAGTCTAATGTCTCGAACGGATATATAAGTAGTATTCGCGAAAAATTTGAAAAGTTGTCCCAAAATAGCAAAACTGGGAAATAAAACGTCAAAATATTCAATATTCTAATTATTTTAAATTTTGAATATATAATGTTATCTAAGATATTATTAATGTAATAATTCATAATAAAAGCATACAATTCCAGTTATTTAACTATTGCGATATCGGGGAACTTCATGACATTAAATATACATAAGAATATTACTCTATAATATAAGTCAGTTTAGTAGACTTATTTTAATTATAAATAATTATTTGATATGTTAGTAACATTTGATTACTATGATTTGATATTTTAATTATTTTAGATTTTTTGCATAATTTAAAAATTATATTATGATTTTATTATTAAAAAAACTCCACCCTATCTAAAACTTAATAACCTTACATTTTGTACAACCTGGCTTTATCATCGATTTTTATCAATTATGGCTTAAATATTGACCTCGGACCTCTCATTTATATAACAGTTTATATAAACTTTCAAAGTTTTTACACATTAATTGCAGTGAATTACTACTAAAACGCCAACATTTATCCAATAATTATCAAAACTTTTTTAAGTCTATCTCTCTGTAAGTGTTTTTCGCTTTAATTATTTGACATAAATATTAAATAAATACAAATAAATTTCAGTTAAAATAACAATTTTTATACATTCATACACACAGTAAGTAGCTTAATTTATATAATTATGGTAGTCTTATCATAGTCTAGCAAATAAATCGTTATATTTCAAAGTTTTGCCTTAATTTTTAGCTAAAAACGTTTTTTCATTGCAAAATGTTTATTAGCAGCTTCTGGTGCTAACAATTAGTGTAGGATTTAAATGGCTTTCTCTCTCGTAATTAAATTATATTTATGTCCTAATCATCGCAATTTATTATAACATTTTTATGCAGACATTTTTGGCATCAAATGTATTATTTTTGGTATAAAATGTATTTTTGTGTATAAATTATTTAGTTTAAAATGTGGTCAAAAAACTTCTACCAATTAATGTATAAATTATAAAAACGGTTTTTCAGTTGAATTTTGTTTGGATTTTAGTGTCGCATATATTATTTAATAACAGATAAATAAATTAATATAATTTACCAATTGTAATTTACATTTTAAAATATCGATATAAACATTCTGTATATAAATTCAATGTATAAATATATTATGATTGACTAAATCCTGTACAAAAATTATGATTGATTTTTAATTACATTATAATTATGAAAGTTTGACAATTTTTATGGTATTTGACTTTCTGTCAGAAATACAGCATTTTTCAACATTTGCGGCAAAATATAAATATAAACGTTAATTCATATGATGTTGAAATAATAGCCATATGTGATGAGGTGAGATACCATATCAGACTTCATTCATCCAGGTACTTGTATAGTGACCACATTAGGCACCATAATAGGAATATGAAGAATAACATCATCATTATGGCCACCAATACCAGGCCTAATATGACCATCATTTCACGCATTGTATTATTAATTTAAATATTTACAATCAATTTAAATATAATTTCCAAACAGTATTGGTTTTACTTTCAATTTAATTGAGTCACAATATATCTAAACAAATGTTAGACTAGAAAACATGGGATAAAATGCTATTACATTTAATATGGAGATAATTATCATTGATAACAAAGACTGGTATATTAAACGTCAGGATAACCTTAAGACAAATGCTATATATTTCAAGTGTAAAGTCTAAAAGTCATGTCTAAAAAGTTATTAAACTTTTTAAATGCTAGACTTTAAAATAGCTTTTAAACACAAAGTATTTGATTACTAAAACTATTTAGCTAAAGTCTATTGAAATTAAAGTATTATATTTTTAAATTAATTTCTAATGAGGGTGAATAGAAATTAGTTTATAGTGTTTGTATGAATCAAATATAATCTATTGATTGTATTGTCAGGTCTCGAGACAGTGATAGAGAAAGGGATTTAAAAGTGAATCAAAAGTTAGAGAGAGAGAGAGAGAG